GGGGACGTGGGCCGGGTGTCGCGGGAGGGGGACGTGGCGGCCCTGCAGGAGCACCTGGAGCACGTCACCTTCTGCAGCGCCGAGCGAGAGCGCTGCCCCCACTGCCAGGGCCCCGCAGACCCGCTGCTGCTCAAGCTGCTGCGCCTGGCCCAGCTCTGCACCGAGTACCTGCTGCACTCGCAGGAGTACCTCAGCGCCCAGCTCGGCAGCCTGGAGGAGGCCCTGCGGGCGGCCCAGGCCCAGCGCGACCAGCTGGGCAAGGAGGTGGCCCACCGCTCGCAGGAGATCAAGGGACTCAAGGAGGAGTGCCGCCGGAGGAAGAAGATGATCAGCACCCAGCAGATGATGCTGGAGGCCCGAGCCAGCTACCACCAGGTGAGAGGAGAGGTCCTGGTGGCCCGGTCACCCACACCTTGCCAGCTCCGAGCCTGCCGGGGACAGGCAGCAGAGCAGCCCCACTCTGCTGGGGTGCAGTCGCTTGCTGGGCGAGAGGCTGGAGCTGCAGGGACCGGTGACCCTGCAAAAAGGGAGTGCATCGCTTGCAGGTGCTTCACTTCCCATCTGCGTTTCACTTCCCATCTGCAATCGCTTGCAGGTGCTTCACTTCCCATCTGTGTTTCACAGACGTTTGGCTGGTATCACAGACGTTTGGGAGAGCGCTACATCATCTTTAACAAATCCTCTTTTTACTAACAAGTGCTCTTTAATCTTGGATTCACTTTTGACACATCTGAAAGTGTCAGATACACAGGCATACAAAACCTGTGATAAACGTGTTACTACTTTCTGTTGCTGTCTCTCCTTGCCTATCAGCTATATAGTCAGAATACACACAGGGCAAGTACATCAGAACTGGTGCTAAGCAGTAACCTACCTGTCCGCTAGTTGTCACTTTCCTGCAGTAACGTTCTTCAGGCACAAAGTTTCTTCTTGTGTGTGTGACTCAGAAGTGACTCAGGCACGATGGTAAAGAGTCTTAGTGAGGTAGCTCATCCCTAACTCCACAATAATCTGTTCCTTGAAGGTCTTCCCTAAGAGCCTTAGTACATTGCGGTTCTGACTCTCTGTGTCATGGCACTCTGGTTTTTTGGGAGAGGTTTTTGTGTTCTGGGTGTAACAGTTTGATTTAAAGATTTTTCAGCTTCAGCATTTTTCAACAGGTTTCAGGAATGCAGATTGCAGCTTCAACTGTAGTCTGAAGTCTAGAGAGTACACTGGACACAGATTTGACATGATTTCAGGCTAGCTCTTTGTGTCTATATGTTTAAAGTTACCGTTTTCTTCTTTTTTTTTAATTCTTGGGATACTAGCAGTCCTGATTGTTGAAATTCTCCTTAATCATGGAATAGTTGCAGTACAGAACAAATACAAGTTTTCTTATGTACAATCCTATCCCACAGTGTAACACCAATTTCAGCAGGCTGGCAAAGTTTAATTTTTTAAGACATCAGCTAACTTGACTCAAGTGTTTCTGTAAGGAAAAAGACACCTTATGCCCCAAGAGTAGAGCTATATGTATGGTAGACTTCATGGGAACCTTGTCTCAATGCATTCATTTGAATGTTAGTCTTAAGGACAAGCTGCTGATGTGGTATCATTTTGAAAAGCCTTTATGCAATTTACAGAGCAGTTTGTCTGTCCTGTGTGGCAAAAGAAAACCGATTGCATGCATGATTTTATGTGTAAACTTAAATAATTCTCACACTGTGATTGCCAGCTAAATATTACCAAGTTTTCCTGAAACATTTGTAGAATACAACTGTCTCGATGGAAGCTGAAGAACATGGTAGTGAACTTGGCTCATCACTAATCTTCTGTTCAGTGGCATTTACAATAAAGCAGAGATGGAAAGCTATTTCCCATTTTTAATTTAATTTCATATAAAGTAAACGTCTGCCCTCCCCCCTTTTTTCCTCTCTGTTAGTACATTTTTGTCTCTAAAAGTTTTTTAGGTTCTCATGGGAAAAGTGAGTTCAGGGAGTGACATTGAACAGTTCCTGCAGTTCTTACAGTGTTTTCAGGATTCTGAGTGTGAATGCCAGAGATAAATTAAACTCTTCCTAGGGTTTGTAAATGCAGGGCAGCAGTGTGATCAGCAAACAGTAATTGTGTGTTGTTTATCTGTGCCGTGATCTTGGCTGATCTGCAGTGCCAGATAATAGGGATTTTGCTTGTGTTCCTGAGAGGGTAGTTCAGATTTCATCCACTTGGCTGTTTTGCAAACAAGCCTGTAAATAGTTACTTGTCTTTTTTAGTGGAGGCACACTTTATATCTAATGTAACCATGCTTTGGAATTCAGATTTAATGCCTTTAATCCGCCACTAATGTAAGTTCAACCATGAAATATTATTATAAAATGGTACTGGTACCTACAAGTCACAAATTTGAGACTCGTTGGTCAATGCCTTCATCTGAGTAATACAAATTTAATTTTCAATAATAATTTTTCAGTTTTTTGATACTTTGTTCAGAAATGTACAGGTGTACTCTTAGCTGGGTAAAAAACTGGCTGGACGGCCGGGCCCAGAGAGTTGTGGTGAATGGAGTTACATCCAGTTGGCAGCCGGTCATGAGTGGTGTTCCCCAGGGCTCAGTATTGGGGCCAGTCTTGTTCAATATCTTTATCAATGATCTGGATGAGGGGATGGAGTGCACCCTCAGTAAGTTTGCAGACGACACCAAGTTGGGCGGGAGTGTTGATCTGCTCAAGGGTAGGAAGGCTCTGCAGAGGGACCTGGACAGGCTGGATCGATGGGCCGAGGCCAACTGTATGAGATTCAACAAGGCCAAGTGCCGGGTCCTGCACTTTGGCCACAACAACCCCATGCAGCGCTACAGGCTTGGGGAAGAGTGGCTGGAAAGCTGCCTGTCGGAAAAGGACCTGGGGGTGTTGGTCGACAGCCGGCTGAACATGAGCCGGCAGTGTGCCCAGGCGGCCAAGAAGGCCAATGGCATCCTGGCCTGTATCAGAAACAGTGTGGCCAGCAGGAGTAGGGAAGTGATCGTGCCCCTGTACTCAGCACTGGTGAGGCCGCACCTCAGATACTGTGTTCAGTTTTGGGCCCCTCACTACAAGAAGGACGTCGAGGTGCTGGAGCATGTCCAGAGAAGGGCAACAAAGCTGCTGAAGGGTCTGGAGAACAAGTCTTATGAGGAGCGGCTGAGGGAACTGGGGTTGTTTAGCCTGGAGAAGAGGAGGCTGAGGGGAGACCTTATCGCTCTCTACAACTCCCTGAAAGGAGGTTGTAGCGAGGTGGGTGTTGGTCTTTTCTCCGAAGTAACAAGCGATAGGACGAGAGGAAATGGCCTCAAGTTGTGCCAGGGGAGGTTTAGATTGGACGTGCGGGAAAATTTCTTTACTGAAAGAGTGGTGAAACATTGGAAGAGGCTGCCCAGGGAAGTGGTGGAGTCCCCATCCCTGGAGGTATTTAAAAGACGTGTAGATGTGGTGCTTAGGGATATGGTTTAGTGGGCATGGTGGTGTTGGGTCGACGGTTGGACTCGATGATCTTAGAGGTCTTTTCCAACCTTAATGATTCTGATTCCATGATTCTACGAAATCTTACATTCTCATGCACAATGTAGGCATAAAGTGCACATTGTGTCTAACACTGTGAAAAGTAGTTGCAAGAATAATGTTACATAATTAAAAACCTAAATATTCCCTGTGTTAATCCTGTCTCCTGCAGTAAGAACTTTCTTTCACTACCAGCAAGTCAAACTGACATGAAGTTTGTGCTTGAATGGATAACATTATTTCACAGCCAATTTCATTCCATAAATCATGTGCAAACTGTTACACTGTAAGCTCCCTCTTGGTTGGCAGCAATGCTTTGCTACTGTACTATATCTCTTTACTTTGGGTTTTTGTTAGCACTTTTTTGCATTTGTCCAACAAAATTTGTCTTAATAATTCATGGCTTTAGTGTTTGCTGAAAGATATTTATATTTAATAGGATACCTGACTATCAGTGGCAGTATTTTAAATATTAGGTGAAATCTGGGAATTTGATGATGGTGGCAAGATCTTGAATCTGTTAAGTCAGTCTTTTACAGTTATATCACACTGATGAGGAAAAAGGACTCAGCTGAGTATTTGTGGTTTGTTAAAATATATTTATTTGAAAAGAAAGTATGAGAAAGAGGTAACGAGCAACCCTACCTAAAGTGATTAGGGGCTTTGATTCACAGTCTTACTGCTATGTTGTAAAATCTGCAGATACAGCTCCTGTCCTTTTGATACCCATCTGTTTTTAATATTCTGAACGTTAGTGGAATGTACTTTGAAGGTGAACAAAAAAAATCTTTTAAAATGGATAGGATCCAAATTTGACTTAAAACATGACTTAAAATTCAAATTAAAAAATAACAAGTAAATTATAGGAACCATAATTGAAACAGCTTTATGCTTCAGAAGGATGCTAGGCAGCATACTAATGTATGTACGTTTTCTTGCAAAATTCTGTACTGTTACCTTATTTTGGTTGAAATGTCTGAGCTTTTTACAGATCTATGGTCCTTCTAGTATTGTCATCTTACAATGTACATCTTCATACAATATATGAATAATATACATCTTCACTTATGTATACTCAAACCCATCTTTATTGTTTTTTCCAACTGTATGGTGCTCTCCTTTGCCGTGGTACAAGAGTCTTAAGAACACCTGAGCTGCTAGTTGGCTGGAGTCAGTGTGTATTGTGCTGAATAGTGTTGTCTTACTTTTTCCTTATACTTCTTTACCTACCTATATTCATCTCTTATCTGTGGTTTATATTGGAATTTGAACTTGCTTGGTCAGAGTCTTTTTTGTTCTGAGTTTGTACAGTGCTTAGCACAATGGGACTCTAGCCCATGACCATCACTGCGAGACATTAAATAACACGAATAACTTTACAGAAATCAGGCACTGTGAGAATTTTAGTCATTATTCTTGTGAAATGGAATTTATTGAAGTTACCTACTTTTGATGTCTGGGCAAAATGTAATAACCTGTTAAAAACCTTAACCACTATACTTACCAAACACGTTACTAATAATAACTAAAATGCTTTTATCTGGTTTTTGTAGTGTCAGTTTTGTGAAAAGGCTTTTATGAACTATTCCTTTTTACAAAGTCACATGCAAAGGCGCCATCCGGAAGAATCTCAGATTGGTATGTACTTTAATGTTATAAAAAAAATTGGGATAAATAGTTTAGAAAAGTGTAAATATAGTGAGGATGTGCAGTCTATGATTTTGTGTAACTGGGAAGAGTGACTTTCACGTTCCATTTTTAGGTGGCAGATACCAATTTGTGTGAATGCAAGCAACACTGACTGACAAAATCTATTGGGTGACATATGTTTCAGTCTCTGGAAAATAATTAACAAAAGATTGTATGCCATATTTACAGTACCTTTTCAAACTAGCATTCCCACTGAATACTTAGCCAGTAGCAGACTTCAAAGCACAGTTTCTCTTGAGGCGTGTGTGTTATGAAGGTGTGGGTAAACAGAACAAGTTGCGCTAAGGCAAATACATTTTGTGAATACATATGAATTATCAGTATAGAAATAATCCAGGTCACCTGAAATCAGTTTGAATAGGATCAGGCTGTCCTGAACTAAACTGACTGTAAAATATAGTGAGAAAAAGAAACTGTCAATAATAATCTAACTTCATGTATCTGTGATAATCTTAGTTGCTATACCACTAACTTACATACTTTTGTCTCTCTTCGTTGAAAAATGTTTAGTTTGAAAAACATTGCTCTCAAAGTTTGTTTCATTCATCTCTAAATTCTCTCCTTCCTGTTAGGTTGCATGCTTATGATTTATCGCTAAGGACTAACAAGTATTGACACATGGCAGTGATTAGAAATGAGTTCGGGGAAAAGAGTATTTGGGAGGAGAAAGAGCAGAAAGAATCTAGCGAGGTCTAAACTGTAGCTTGTCAGGGAAATAAAACAGCAGGAACAGTGAGAGGGGTCTGAGGAAGCGTGTGAGGAAGCGTTAATATATTGGAAGAAGAAAGAAGCTGTTGTGCACTTTACACTTGATAAAAATGATAGTGGAAGGTGCTGCAGAACCAGTTGAACTAATTATCATATAAAGAATTAGTCTGAAATGGCTGTATGAGGGAAATACTCCATGCAGTTATTTCTGAAATAATGTTCTGCATGGTGCTCAGATTCCCAGATGATGGGCTAGTAAATCCTCAGTAAATTGATAAAATGTCTCAAGATTAAAAATTGTTATAATTTTTGCATATTTTAACATGTTTTATTACAGTGACATTCCCTCTGACTCATTCCAGATAAATAGAGTTGCATTCCAAATGGACTCCTAACAGAAGTTATGTAGAAAAAATTAAACCTAACAGAATTGAATAATTGAGGTTCACTTTGTCCTTCATATGTCCTTTTTTGAGCCTGTGTTGCTTAGATTCCTTTGAAATTAGATTATATAGTACTTTTTCTTGTAAATATTTCATAAACTGTTTCACATGTCAGTAATATTGGTATTTTTCAGTCTTTGCGGATAATGTTAGCAGTCCAGAGAACATATGCATTTATAAGCATCTTTGGAGAATCATGGTGGTGGGAGGGGAAACTATCTATGAGAGTCACACTTTATGAAGATGTTATTGAAACGCTATAGAAACACATTTGTAGTAAGTATCACATTTCCAGAAATTACAACAAACATTTTTAAAATCTGTGTTTCTTTCAAACAGAACAGAAGAGGAAAGCAAAGACGGACAAATTGCAGGATGAGATTGATAAACTGAAGGAGCAGTTGCAGCTCACCAAGTCCCAGTTAGAGGCTGAACAACAGGCTAATATGGTCAGGTTTTCTAAGGTAATATGTACTAAAGAATACGAACCTCTCAAAAGAATTAGTACTTTGGACTGCATTCACTCATTTTGTAACTGGAACAGAACAAAAATGTATCTGCAGCTTGCGTGCCTGGCAGCAATGGTGCTTGGGCATTAGAGCATATCTCCCCCTCACCCCTCCTAATTTTGAACATCTGCTTTCTCCTTACTTTTGTTTTAGACATACTTTAAATGAATACTTAAGACAACATTTCTGTTAGCACTTGACAGTTCATAAGATAACTGTGGCCTATTATTGAAGCAGATAAAATTGCCTTGCTGCAGTGAAATATAAGCTATTTTTAATATGTTACTTTGTGATGATTAAATGTTTCTTATCTATGACTGTGATTTTATAAGTGACTTTATAAACTGAGTAAGATTTATTCTTTGCTGTGAAGAACCTTACTGTCTAACAGGTGTAAAGCAGTCAAAGAAGAGCGAGTGAGAAGAAATAAAGCAGTCTAGGCTTTGCATGTTGGTCTTTAAATGCTCAGATTTTGGTTGACCAGAGAGCCAAAGCAGAAAGTAATCTTAGCTACTGCTGTGTGAATAAAAAACCTTAAACTAGAATGATTTAAAAGCAGTAATTATCTGTTTGTAATCACATGCAAGGCTTTATTTAGGATGATATTAAGCCTTGTGGTAGTGCTTACTAGCTCATAAAGAGAAAAAAAGTCTCCAAGTTACCTGTTTTGGTGTTTTTAAAAGCTTGATAATTTCAGATCATCTCACAGTTTTCATTTCTGTTTGAGTAAATACATTCAGATAATTTGCTGTTGAAATAGGGATGGAAATTTTTTTAAAGGGGGGGGTTGTGATTCACTAAGGAGCAAATTCTTGGCATAAAAGACAAGATACTTCTAATGATTCATTTAGATGTTGATCTTGGTATTGCAGTTTGCCCTGTATCACATTCAAAAGCAGGGGTTTGTGGTTGTTAACATAACCTGTGAGAACCTTGTCTTAATATATCACCCAATATTCAGAACTTCTTAGTGGAGTTTGAGGACCTTCAAATGTCTTCTTAGTGGAGTTTGAGGGCCTTCAAACGTAAGACCAACCATTAAGTTTGGAAAGAAACACTACATTTTTAATTTAAAGGGAATCAACAAAACATCGCTATTATTAATTATTTTCTTCCTTGTTTTCAGAGGAAAAGCTGGTCTTCTGTAAAACATGCAGTGTTTCTTTTCCTGAACACAGCTTCAGACTCTCCTTTTTTCAGTCGTCCTGTTCCCCTTCTCCCGGGACCATTCAGCTTCCTGGTTTTCTTCCATTTTCGAAAGTAACTGGATGACCAAATGAAGAGCATGGGTAGTTTCACCTAGGAGTGCAAGCAGGGTCAGAATAATGAGCCTTGGCCCTATGTGGACATCTGCTAGGTATTCTACTCTTTCATTCTGTGCCTCACTTTTGAGAGGTACATCTATAACATACTTCTCCTGCCCTTGAAGCATTGTTTTTCTTACGAGATGGAACTTGGAGTTTTCATAACAGTGCAGCGTAGATTTTTTGGTGCCTCAGGGGCCTATTTTGAAGTCACTTGTCCTGGCTGAGACTCCTAACTACAAGGGGACTGCCTGAAATGTCCTGAAGCTACAGCCTGCAGTGTTACACAACAAGAAGCTTTCAAAGCTTCTGTGTTTTTCTGGGATGTCAGGGAAGGTAGAAATGTGAAGTGTGACTGGGTGCAGTTTGTCTGCCATGACTGACATCCACTGTCAATTCAGGTATCATTATGTTGTTGTCTTTTGATTGAAAGATCAGAAGATCTTTCCCCTGTGTTTTTTTTAGGAGAACCACTACTGGAGGGAATTTGGATAAAAACTGTCATGCTTCCAATTCTTGGTCCCTTCTACTCCTTTGAGGTGGAAGGATACAGAAGACCCGTTCTTCATAAGTGTACAATGATTGCTTGTTATAGTTAGTCAGAGAACAAATTCGGAGTGAATGCTGTGATGGAAAGATGTAGGGGTTGCCTAAAAAGGGGGTTTATTCTGGACAGTGAAATGCAGGACTTTGAACAGGTTGAGGACTATACAAAAATGAGTGACTAGGTAATGGAATGGTAAAAGTAATTTAACAGATAAAGTGGGGTAAATGTATATGGGGAAAAAATAATTTTAACTTCATCTACAAAATGATGGGTTCTGAGCTGAGTGTTACTACTGAAGGGCAAGATCTTAAGGTTGTGATACGTAGTTCCAGGGAAATGTCGGCCCCGTGGTTAGTAGCAGCCAGCAAAGGAAATCAAATATTACAAATTATTCTGAAAAATCACTGTGCAAGCCACAGCCTAAATACTGTGTGTAGGTCTAGTCCCTTCATCTCAAAAAGGATATGATAGAATTATAAAAGTTATGGAGATGGGCTACAGGGATGATCAGTCTGTATTTAGAATGACTGAGCATGCTAAGAGTTGTCAGTCTGAAAAAGAGACAACAGCTTGGTGGGGATGGAGGGTGAGATACTGATGTCCGCAAAGTCATGAGTTACATAGAGTGAATAGGTATCAATCATTCACTCTCTTTTTCGGTTCAGGGCCTAGCATCCATCAAATGAACCTAGCAGGAGCCAGATTCAAACAAAAAAAAGTACTTGGCTCTTCATGCAACTTGTAGTAGACCTATGGAGCTCATTGGCAAAAGATGTTGCAGTTGCTAAAAGCTGACACAGCCACAAGGGACGACTGCAAAAGTATGTGAGGAGAAATGTATCAAAGGTTACTAAGTTTACAAAACCGAGTCAAGCTGAGGAAGTCCTCTGAGCTGAAAACAGTTGACAGCCTGGAGACTGTTAAGGAGAACGTGCATGTTTGCTTGCCCCGGTATTACCCTTTCCCACCTATACACTTATGGCCTCTGTGAGAAACAGGATGCTGAACTAGGTGGATCTTTGATACGACCAAGTAAGGTCATTCATGTGTTATTCAATGAAAAATAATGAACTACCAAAACTTCTTGAAGCGTACTTGTTTTGCTAGCAAAATGTATAGTTTGCTACCCCAGAAATCTTCAGAAACGGGTGTTTTTTCATGTTTTTTGACATCACAATGTTGCCTGTTGAAAGTGACTGCCTCCCACACATAGTTTGGGTGCTTGAATTAGTATTGCATGTGGGGAAAAATAACAAATAATGCTTTAAAAATAATTTCAGGAATGTGAACAGCAAAAATCAAAAGAAGAAGAAATTCTACAATCATTTCATAAATGGAAAGAGGAGGAAAAAGAGAAATTGGCTGATGAAATAGAAAAAGTGAAAGAGATGTTTATGAAAGAGCTTAAGGAGTTATCTTCAAGAAATTCAACATTAGAAAATGTAAGTGATTTAAATTTTCCAACATTTTAAGGCATGAATCCCTTACAGTAGATGGTAGTAAACTTCACATATTTGAAATGTGATGTAGTCAGCTTAGAGGTCTTCTTACAAAACTTTAAAAATAATGGTTGCATGATAGCCATAATTGTATCTTTGTATATTGGTACTTTATTAACATAATTTCAGTTCATTTTTTTAATAGCATTGTTTTGGATGAATGAATTATGCCTTCAGCAACTGTGTCAATTTTTTCTTCTCAACTTTTGAGTGCTTGTTTATGGATTAGTAGATATTGTTATTATTGCTGTCTGTTAGGTATCCTTATATTAATACTCTTATAACTGGCATGGAGGGGACTAACTTCTGCATTATAGTCCTGACAGCAGAACTGCATGTGTTTTCAATACATGCTCTGGAAATGCTTTCCAGAGTTTTGACTAGAAAGAGAATTGTAAAAGTATAGGTGGGTCAGAAAATAAATATGCACAGCATTACTAGAGCAGCTTATATTTTGTAGCTGCTAGTTCCTCTGTATATTTGCAAGGTATATTTATGTTAGATGTATATATTATAGTCCTGACAGCAGAACTGCATGTGTTTTCAATACATGCTCTGGAAATGCTTTCCAGAGTTTTGACTAGAAAGAGAATTGTAAAAGTATAGGTGGGTCAGAAAATAAATATGCACAGCATTACTAGAGCAGCTTATATTTTGTAGCTGCTAGTTCCTCTGTATATTTGCAAGGTATATTTATGTTAGATGTATATATTAATTATTACATGAAATTTGATAAATGCTGAACTCATGAGAAATGTGAGAAGTGTCTGATGCAATCTCTGTGTAGTTATGTTTAAAGTAGATTTTGTATTAAATGACAGTTTTATAAAACAAAATCTGTATACATATTTGGGTCTTCATTTTTCCCCCCGCCTTTTAGCAACTGTTAGAATTACAGAAGTCCAGTATGCAACAAAAATCCAATTTAGGGACGCTGATGGATAGCCAAGAATTTACAGAAGAGAAACCTCAGAGTCCTCAGGATTATCACAATGTGGTTAAACTTCTTGAAAAACAGGTAACACTGTAACTTAATGTATTGCTTTTGACAGACTGCTTGTGTTCTTTTCATTTTTGTACATCTCTGAGTAGGATTTTAAACCCGTAAGTAAAGTTCTCATCCCTCTCACAGTCTAAAATAGCTGTTTTTAAAAATTTACTACTATTTAGTACAATCTCTATAATGGAAACCAAGGAATTACTTTCCTTATCCTTTGTAAATAAATTGTTATTTATTTATTTATATTCTCTTATTCTTTATTGTTAAATATATTTAGCTTTACCAAGTAGGGTTGCAGTTCACTTCCAGAAGGCTCTAATAGATCATTTATGTCTGCTGATCTGTGAGGCCACTTATGGAAAAATTGGAATTTTCCAAGATGAAAAAAAATGTTAAGAAACTTTCTGCCAGGATTTGTCAACCTGTGGCTTTTGAGCCATATGAAGCACTCGAGCTTGTCAGGTGCAACTTCTGTACCAGGCCTATATCATCCGACGAGCACAGATGCTGGTGCTAGCGCAAATCTGTTGGACAATCCAAAGTCCCACCTATAGGAAAGACTGAGTTAGGAAGGGCCACTGAGGCCAAGGTCATTGCATTGCTCTGGGACTCACCTGCATGTCTGGGTTGTTCCTATAAAAAAAGAAAAAAAATAGTTGTGAGGCCCTTGAAAATACCCACAAACCTTTTTACTCTTTTTTTTTTTTTGACACTTTGAGGCACGCATTATATATTTCATGGTTCTTGGGGTGTGAAGGTCTTTGTATACTGCTGGTATCATCCAGAAGTTTGGTCATTTCTGCTCAAAGATGTGGAAAACTTAGTGAGTTTTTCTTTATGGTTTTTATTTATTCAAAGAAAATTCAGTTCACTCAAAAACTCATATATTAATACTGGGTTTTATCATCATTATGCAAAATACATTGTTAGTGAGTGCTTGAAATGACATTATTTTGGGGAAAAAAACCCCTGCTTTCACTACTCTTATTGTTAATACACAGAGACGTATCAAAATACATGTGTATTTCTCACTCACAGTCACTATATATACAAATCAAGGAACAAATACGCAGTTTCTGGAGTGATTGGTAAGAAAACCACACTCGGATGCATAAAACATGCTGATGACTGTTCTAGGTCTTAAATACAGGGTTACTCGAGTTTCATATCATGAATAATCTTTTCAGTATTTATGCTTTATTTAGAAAAATAAAGCTGCATATATTGAACTAAATGGTAATGTGTTATCAACAGGAAATAAAGCTGCATATATTGAACTAAATGGTAATGTGTTATTAACAGGAATCACATATATTGAACTAAATGGTAATGTGTTATTAACAGGAATCAATATTGATTTCCTCTATGCAGGAAAGTAAGTGGACGTCTAGAATACAAGCCCTTCGTCATGACCATGAGACAGAAAAGTCCCTGGTAAGTGGCACAGCAAAACACTTAAACTAAAAGGAGACTTTTTCCTTATTTTCTTACCCTTGCAGTAGTTCTTGATATGCTATAATACATCTGTTAGATTAGAAAGCCTAGATCTCAAGAGTTTATAAGAGTGTGTCCTCTTAGACGTATTTATTATCTCTGTATTTCTGTTATGCTAGGATCTTAACTTTTCAGTTAAGTCCAGGGTTGAAACGGAATTTATGATTTAAGAATCTGACAGACACCTGAAACTGTATCTCTCTTTTGAAGAGTTTACAACTAATTCTGTGAGCGCTGTATTACACAGTGTTTTCTGTGTCATGTGGATATGCTGGATAGTTGAGATGCAACTTGCCAACGTGTAGCTTCCATCTACCCTGTACCTTCTGCTACCATGGACCTATGGCATACGTCTCAGTCTTTTTTTCTTTTTTCTATCACTTCTCTGCTGCTTTTTCTGTTGTAGCTTTCTAACGCAGAATCTGTTCAGCTTTCCCAGGAAAAAACACCATGGCGTTTTATTTTGCATCAGTTTATGTATTTTACTATACAAAGCTTTATTCCTCAGATTTTTTTTATGTCTGCATTTCTTTTTAATCTCTTTCCTGCTTTGTTTCTCTTGCTTCTTTTCCTTTCATTTTCCTTTCATCTGCGTGACCATGTAAGAACTGAGCAGATCATAGTGGTCTGACCAATGCTTCTCCTCCTCTGGCAAGAAAGCAGTGGGGAGGAACCATGGAACATTCCCCCAAATGGATGTAGTTAATGGTACACCCACATACAGTGCAAGAATAGAATAAGGGAGGAGTAATGTAAGTATTACTTTTGGGGTGGTGCACCTAAAATATTGTTCCCTTTCTTCTACATTCAGAACTAATATATTAGGTTTATCATGCAAATTCACATCTCATCTCCTTAAAATATCATTATTTGACACTATAACCAAAACGTTTTTGTCGAGTCGTATGCTTTTTCCTGCAATCTTATTTTTGTGCAATCTCAGCAATGTGTTTGTGTGTCCCTTTCTTTGTATTGAGATTTAGGTAGTCTTCCTTGTGTAAATAAAAAGTGATGCAGACAACTGTTTCATAATATATGCAAGTCCCAATGAAATCACAGGAGACACTACGTTTTTGCTAAAAAAAAAAAAAGTGTTAAAAATATTGAAGCATGACACTTGCTTGTTTAAACTTTATAGCATTAACGTATTTTATATAATATTAATATGAAGTTACTTTTCTTCTGATTGCTTTCTAGCTACTGTCACAGATTGAGAAGCTTAAATCATCAGTGAGAGAAGACCTGAATAAAAATAACACCTTTTACAAGAGGAGGATAGAAGAATTGGGGCAGAGGCTTCAGGAGCAGAATGATCTGATTATTACTCAGAAGAAGCAGGTCTGTTTTGTGAAGCACTCCATGTTTCAGAGAGCATAGGACATAGAGGAACATTTTACTGGCATTTGGTCTTTGATATATCTCTGGTTTTGTAGTTAACATTCCAAATTTGTAGTAGTATTACTGTAGTATTTTGGTTATACCTTGGGAATTATGTTGATAAATAAGAATAGATCTGGAAAAGAGACACAGGAATGTAAACCAGGAATTAAAACACAATTTAGAAGGAAAGGATTAATAAACCAAATGTTTTTAATAAGTTCATCACAAAGTTAAAAGACTACTAGGTCGCAGTCATCAAAGACCTCTACAGATGAAAAATTTCTGATAGTGAACAGGATCATCTGCCACAAAATAATCATAATGAAATCTAATGTTTGAAATCTGAAAATACATGACTTCTCACATTAAAAATAAAGTATCATGTTTATCACTGTGAGGATAATTAATTAGATTATTACTGTATGAAATTTAATGAGCAAGTGCCGGATTCTCCACCTGGGACGGCATAATCCTGGTTATTCATACAAATTGGGGGACAAGAGGCTGGAGAGCAGCCCCGCAGAAAGAGATCTGGGGGTTTGGGTTGAATATGAGTCAACAGTGTTCCCTGGCAGCCAAAAGGGCCAAC